AAATGGATTAAGGATCTAAATGTAACACTAGATACTATAAAACTCAGAGGAAAACATAGGCAGAACACTCTTTGACATATCTTTATGGATCCACCTCCTAGAGTAATGAAAATAACAAAAATAAACAAATGGGACCTAATGAAACTTAAAAGCTTTTGCACAGCAAAGGAAACCATAAACAAAACGAAAAGACAACCACAGATTGGGAGAAAATTTTTGCAAATGATGTTACTGACAAGGGATTAGTCTCCAAAATTTACAAACAGCTCATGCGGCTTAATATCATTAAAACCAATCATCAAACAACCCAACCCCAAAACGGGCAGAAGACCTAAATAGACATTTCTCCAAAACAGACATACATGTGGCCAAGAGGCACATGAAAAGATGTTCAACATCACTAATTATTAGAGAAATGCAAATCAAAACTACAATGAGATACCACCTCACTCCAGTCAAAATGGCTTATCATCAAAAAATCCACAAATGGGACTTCCCTGGTGGCAGAGTGGTTAAGAATCTGCCTGCTAATGCAGGGGACATGGGTTCGAGCCCTGGTCTGGGGAGATCCCAGATGCCATGGAGCAACTAAGCCCATATGCCACAACTACTGAGCCTGCACTCCAGAGCCCACGAGCCACAACTACTGAGCCCACGAGCCACAACTACTGAAGTCCACACACCTAGAGTCCATGCTCCACAAGAGAAGCCACCACAATGAGAAGCCCATGCACCACAACAAAGAGCAGCCCCCGCTCGCTGCAACTAGAGAAAGCCCATGCACAGCAACAAAGACCCAATGCAGACAAAAATAAACAAATTAATTAATTAAGAAAAAAAAAGATGTGGTACATATATACAATGGAATATTACTCAGCCATTAAAAATAATGAAATAATGCCATTTGCAGCAACATGGATGGACATAGAGATTGTCATACTGAGTGAAATAAGTCAAACAGAGAAAGAGAAATATTGTATGATATCGCTTATATGCAGAATCTAAAAAGAAATGATACAAATGAACTTATTAACAAAACAGAAACAGACTCACAGACTTCGAAAACAAACTTATGGTTACCAAAGGGAAAAGGTGGTGGAGGAAGGATAAATTAGGGGTTTGGGATTAACATATATACACTATTATATATAAAACAAATAATCAACAAGGACCTACTGTATAGCACAGGGAACTCTACTCAATATTCTGTAATAACCTGTATGGGAAAAGAATCTGAAAAAAGAATGGATATATATGTGTGTGTGTGTGTGTGTGTGTATGTATATATATGTGTGTGTGTATATATATATATATATATATATATATATATATAAAACTGAATCACTTTGCTGTACACCTGAAACTAACACAATATTGTAAATCAACTATACTCAATATAAAATAGAAATTAAAGTTTTAAGAAAGAGAAAAAATTAAAATTCATGGACATTTTTCCTCCTTCTTCAGTATTCAGGGCTGGGTTGGAGGGTAGGGGAGAAGGGTAGTAATGCCAGTGTTAACCTGGAAACGACTGGGTAAGGGAGGGGATGGTTCCATCTTCCATCCTCACCCCTACCCTGGAGAGACACACACACACCTCTAGGTATTGAATAATTATAAACCTATAAAACTGGGGGGAATGGTGCGGGGGTGGTTGGTTGGAGGACATTAGAGCCCTTATAAAGGAGGCTCCAGAGAGATCCTTGTCCGCCATGGTGGCACCCTGATCTCTGACTTCCAGCCTCCAGAACAGGGTGTAAGGCTTTGGGACATTTGTTTTGGGAGGAAAGGAATGGCCAGGCCTTTTCTGTGCTCTCTCTCAATGGAGCTGGGGATCTTTCTGCAGGAAAGCACTTTTTAAGCTAGGGAGTAGAAAAAAGAGCTCAAGGTAGAGCTCAAAATTGAGCGCATTCATTCATTCATTCACTCATTCATCCATTCATTCAACTAATTAAGTGGTTCTCAACCAGGGGTGATTTTGCCCCTTGGTGAACATTTGTCAATACCTGGAGACATTTTTGGGTGTCATAACTGGTGGGGAGGGGGAGGTGTGCTATTGGCATTGAGTGGGTAGAGGCCAGGGATGCTGCCAAATACCCCAAATGCACAAGATAATCCCCACAACAAAGAATTTTCCAACCCAAAATGTCAATAGTGTGGCATTGGAGAAATTCTGATCTAGTTAGTACTTACTGAGAGCCTATTGTATGCCTACTAGGAGATACTAGGAAGAGGAGACAGTCAACTTTACTACCAGGTAGGGGAGACACACACTAAATTTATCAGGTGATGATAAGAGTTATCAGGAAAACGTGAGAGATGCGGGGGGCTGCAGCACAGGGAAGGGACCTTGACTTTTCTTTTTCTTCAATTTATTCATTTTTTTGGCTGCATTGGATCTTCGTTGCTGCACGCAGGCTTTCTCTAGTTGAGGCGAGCAGGGGCTACTCTTCGTTGTGGTGCACAGGCTTCTCATTGCGGTGGCTTCTCTTGTTGTGGAGCATAGGCTCTAGGCCCATGGGCTTCAGCAGTTGCAGCATGTGGGCTCAGTAGTTGTGGCTCGCAGGCTCTAGAGCACAGGCTCAATAATTGTGGTGCAGGGGCTTTGTTGTTCCACGGCATGTGGGATCTTCCTGGACCAGGGCTCGAACCCATGTCCCCTGCATTGGCAGGCAGATTCTTAACCACTGCACCACCAGGGAAGTCCCACTTTGACTTTTCAACTGCAAAGAGCTGGAGGAATGGAACTGCTAGGGCAAAGCCCCTAAAGGCTGTGGAGAATCTGGTTTCATTTATTCTGAAACTACTACTGAAGTGCTTCCTGTGTGTTAGGCACTGTCCCAGGTGCAGAGTATAGATCACAGGGCAATACAGATACAAATTCCTTCCCTCTTCAATAGCACAGCCTCCGGCCCCTAAGGAGACTAAAATAATGAGGAAAAGTGCCTCCTGTGGGCACTGAGAAGGTGACTGAAACAAATATGGGAGGTGAGGGAGTGAGCTTCCCAGGAAGCAAGGACCACCAGTGCAATGGTCCTGTGGTGGGAGCGCAAGCATGTGGAGGAAATGGGGAAGGCCAGTGTGGCTGACTGGAGTAGTAGGAAATGAGTCAGAAAAGGTCTATGGTCTGAACGTTTGTGTTCTCCCCAAATTTATATGTTAAAATCACCCAAGGTGAAGGTATTAGTGAAACAGGAGGGAAGGGGGCAGGGCACAACCTTTAAAAGAATGACATAGCCATAGGACATGACAAAAACTGGTTAGAGCGAACTAGGTCCAAGATGGCGGATGAGTCAACTTCTAGTAGACCTTGAGCCTTATTACAGGCTCACTGTAACACATCAGTACTCTAAATGACACACCCACAGGCACCATGACAGTCCCAAGGCTGACCAAAGACGGTAAAAAATTGGGTGGTGGCCCCAATTCCTGGAAATCCCCATCCCTTCCCCAAAATATTGATAGTTGGAATAATCTTCCCACTCATTAGCCTATGAAATTACTCACCCCTACAAAAACTGACAACCCCATACCCTGAGGCCTCTCTTGTCTTCTGAGATGGCCCACACTCTGTCTGTGGAGTGTGTTTCTCCCTAAATAAATCCACTTCTTATCTATCACCCTTTCCCTCACTGAATTCTTTCTGTGATGAGGTATCAAGAACCTGAGCTTCATTAAGTCCTGAGGCCAGGTGTGTGATCTCAATTAATAGACTGTGGGATTAAAAGACCACGGGTTTGGGCTTCCCTGGTGGTGCAGTGGTTGAGGGTCCGCCTGCTGATGCGGGGGACACAGGTTCGTGCCCTGGTCCGGGAAGATCCCACATGCCGCGGAGTGGCTAGGCCCGTGAGCCATGACCGCTGAGCCTGTGCGTCCGGAGTCTGTGCTCCGCAACGGGAGAGGCCACAACAGTGAGAGGCCCGCGTACCACAAAAAAAAAAAAAAAAAGACCGTGGGTTCAAGTCCCAATCTGAGTTCCATAGTTTCATTAGGAGGTGGGGCCTTTGAGAGGTGATAAGGTCAGAAGGGCTCTCATGGGATTAGTGCCCTTATAAGGGAGGCTCCAGAGAGTTCCTTGTCCCCCACGGTGGCACCCTGACCTCTGACTTTCAGCCTCCAGAACTATAAGAAATAAATTTCTGTTGTTTATAAGCCAGTAGTCAGTCTGTAGTATTTGGTTACAGCAGCCCTAACAGACTAAGACAAGAGGTCATGGGGCCCAGATCATTGGGCCTTGTAGGTCACCATAGCGATGTAAGCAAATAGGGTAGGGGGAACCCGGAGAAAGAGAACCAGGCATGGCTTTCTTGACATAAAAGAAGCCATTTTTGGCCTAAGCCATTTTGTAATCTATGCCTGGCCACAAAGCTTGCCCTTGAACAGGTCTCAGTAATCAGTGATCTTAAGGGAAGCGAGGGAATGCAGGAACAAAGGAAAAGCAAAGAAGAAACAATAGTTCAGTGAAAAAACAGTGTCCTAGTTCCTCCTCAAGGGATATACATAACAATTTAATACAGTCCTTGAGTTCTGCAGGAACTGAGGCCCGCACCCAGGTGAAGGACGGAATGATGATGTTGACCCACAGGACTTCAATCAACTAACACCTGGACTCATCCATCATGGCCCCAATTCTATGCTGAATTCTCCTCTGCTCAGGCCCCTTCACGAATATGCATGTACCCTTAGCTTAAAACTTCCCCAAGTTTGCTGTTTGGGGGAGACACTATTTTAGGGAAGATCCCCAAGTGTTATTACTTGCTGCGAGTAATAAACCTTTCCTTTTCTCGATCTTTGGCTTGGTTGTATCTTTTTCTGACCCCCACCAAAAGGCGAACCCAGTTTTCGGGTGACAACAGGATTAAAGGAGAAGATGTCTGACCAGTAAGAGCTGACTGTGAGAAGCTTGTAGAAAAGAGTAACAGGAGGGGTTATGGGCTGTCTAGACTGGCAGTAATAAGTCCACAGGAAGCAATGTGGAAGGAGAGGGGAGGAGAAATGGGTTGCAAAGCTCCACAAGGAGAAAGCAACGGAGTGACCTTACCCCCTAGACCCTGATCTACCGAGAGTACCTGGGAAAATTAACAGCTTCCCTTGAGGGGACAGTAAGGGAACAGGGTCCTGGGGTGGTGGGCAGGGGAGGGCAGGTTTCAGGCCAGGAAGGGGAAGAGAACGTGCAGAGAAGAGGCTGAGAATCAGCAGTTTTCTGATGAGGACTGTGGGCTCCTGACAGCACCATGGCAGGGTGGTCGCAGAACGGGAGTCAGATTAGCTGTGCCCGGGCTTGTGGGAATCAGAGTCTCGGTGATGGAGGATCGGGCTCCTGGTGGGGAAGGATGTAACAGTTCCACAAATGGTTACTCTCACAGCTCCTATTCTGAGCCACACCTTTAATAAATGTTTGCTATTACTTCTATTATTTCTCCAGGAAGCCAGAGGAAGGAGCTTCTGAATTCCTCCGGGGCGGCCCTCCCAGTTCACCCCGGAGGAAAACAGGCTGGGGCGGGTCTCGGATTCCAGCCGGGCGGCTGGAGCCACCGCGCACCCCACGGCTGCCCTCCGGCGGCTCCTCCCGATTCCTTATCAGCCAGGAGATCCCCAACCAGGCGCGGACCAGATGCTGCTTTCAGAGCCCTAGGCAGCTGGGTGTGTCTTCCCTGCTTTGCAAAATCGGGGAGCAAAAAAAAAAGAAAAGCCTGGACGAATATCCTGGCTCAGGTGTGGGACTCGCCTTAGAACTGGGCGGCAGCGGAGTCGGGTCAGAAGCCGCGTGCGGCACCACGCGGAGAGCGGAGCGCGGGGGGCGGAGGCCGAGACGCAGGCACCTCCCCTTCCCCGCCAGCTAAGGGCCTCTGCCAACCCCCGCTGCAGCCCCGGTCCTGGCCCAACTGAACCTTACAGGCCCCAGGGGCCGAGGCGCCCGCATCCCGGCCCGCTGGCCCACTCCTCCCCGAGGGAGGCAGCCCCCAACCTGGCTGTTGGCCACATGCTGAGTAGCCTTGGGCAGATTGCCTCCAGTCTCTGGGCCTAAGCTTTTCTCATGTTAAAAGAGGACGCTGGGACTTCCCTGGTGGCGCAGTGGTTAAAAATCCGCCTGCCAATGCAGGGGCACACGGGGTCGAGCCCTGGTCCCAGGTCCCACGTGCCGCGGAGCAACTAAGCCCGTGAGCCACAACTGCTGAGCCCCTGTGCCACAACTACTGAAGCCCGCGCACCTAGAGCCCGTGCTCCATAACAAGAGAAGCCACCACAATGAGAAGCTCGCGCACCGCAACGAAGAGTAGCCCCTGCTCACTGCAACTGGAGAAAGCCCGCGCACATTAACAAACACCCAACTCAGCCAAAAATAAATAAATAAAATAAATTTATAAAAAATACATAAAGAGGACGCTGGACTCAATTTCTCCAAGGTCCCTCCAGGTTGGGGCAGTCCCTGCAATGACCTACCTTCTCCGGATTTGAAACTCTTCCCTCCTGGCAGCCTTCAGGTGGACCCTGGGTTATCTCGGATGGTATTTATCGTTTCTGCATCCTTGGGGGCAGAACAGTTGCAGTGCAGCTGTGCTTCCCAGCAGAGGTCAGCATACTTTTTCTAAGAAGGGCCAGATGATAAATATTTTAGGCTTTCTAGACCAGGCGTTCTCTGTCACAACTATTCTACTCTGCCCTTGTAGCAAAAGCAACCATGGAGGATGGTAAACTAATGAGCGGGGCTGTGTTCCCATAAGCCTTTGTTTATGGCAGCTGATTTGAATTTCTTGTAATTCTCAGGTGTCAAGAAAATTTTCTTTTTATACATTTTTTTCTTTCACTTAAAAACACAGAAAGTGTTCCTAACCTAGCAGGCTGCACTAAATCAGTTTGTAACCCCAGGCTTTGAAATGTGGGCTTTGGGGCTGATTCCTTCACTTTTCTGGAGCTGTTTCTCATCTGCAAAACACTGACAAACTTCAGCATGGTTGTGGGGGATGATGTCAGACCACAGATGAAACTACTACATAATTGATGTCATTCTCCATGTTGTAGCTGGTACATGTCCCCAGCAGAAGATGGGGGCTTAGAGGTCAGGATGGTGTCTTGTTGCGTCCCACACTCCCCTCATTTCCTGAGTGCAATTATGTGACAGGCACTGTGTTAGCTGCTCAACATGCAAATCTCATTCAATCAGCTCAGGCTCAGGAGATAGAAATTGTAGGCAGATAGGGTAAGGGGTCCCGGATAGGGAGAACCGGGCATGGCTTTCTTGACATAAAAGAAGCCATTTTTGGCCTAAATCATTTTGTGATCTAAGCCTGGGGCACAAAGCTTGCCCTTGAACAGGTCTCAGTAATCAGTGACCTTAAGGGAGGTGACGGAATGCAGAACAAAGGAAAAGCAGCCATGAAACAATATAGCTCAGTGATAAAACAGTCCCAGTTCCTCCTCAAGGGGATACGTAACAATCTGATTATGTTTTTGCATTCTGCAGGAACTAAGGCCCCCACCCAGGTGGAAGAGGGAATGGTGATGTTGACCCTCCTGACTTCAATCAACTAAAGTTTGGACTGCCCAGGCCCCTTCATAAATATGCATGTACCTTTAGCTTAAAACTTCCCCAATTTTGCTGTTGGGGAGACACTGCTTTGGGAAAAATCCCCAGTGTTCTCCTTACTTGTTGTAAGTGATAAATCCTTCCTTCTTCCTTTCTTTGGCTTGGTTGTTTCTTTTGGCTCAACACCCAACGAGAGGCGAACCCAGTTTTGGGGTAGCAAGATGACATATTTCTACTTTACCGGTAAGAAGGTGAGGCTCAGAGCCCAGATTTGAACTGGGTGTTAGGTCAGCCTCCAGAACCCCTTTCTTTGTTTTCTTGTTTTTCTGTCTGATAAAACTTAGAGTTGCTTAGTCTAGCAATGTGACCTCAAACAGAATACTATTTTTCTAGATATCTGTAAACTCTTTGGTCAAAGGACAAGCTATAATTAATACCCGTTATGTGCACCTGTCATTTGCTCCCATTTTTCAGAACAGAAAACTGAGGCTTGAAGAGGTTGAGGATTAAAATCTGGGCCTGTCTGACCCCTAAACTGAGCCCTTTCAACTGAGAACAGTTTCCATGTAACTGGTTGCATAGGCTCCAAACCTAGGAGCCCTCTAGGTCTCCTCCCGTCCCTTCCCCCATGCCCAATACGTTGGCAAGTTGTTTTGATTCATCCTCGAAAATATATCCTGAATCTATCATTTGGGGTAGGGAGAAGAGCTGCTTTGGGGCTACTGTGATCTTTTGAAAATGCATATTAGAACCTTGGAAGCCTTCCTAGTTGACTTGGAATAAAATCCCAAGCCTTACCTAGAGGGCCCTGGGCCCTCTAGCCCATCTCTCTCCCCTGTCCCCCACTCATGGCCACATTCCCTTAGTTCCAGCCTCAGTGGCTTCCTACCTTCCAGTGTAGCGAGAGGCTGCAAGAGATAACGCAGGCGCCGTGTGGTCACAGAGAGATCGCCTGGTAAATGGCAGTGTGACGGGAGTGTGACTGCGATCAAGAGGACAGTCTCTTCCGGGCTCTCAACCTCAGCACTGTTGACATTTGGGGCCAGATCATTTTTTTGTTGTGGGTGGGCCATCCTGTGCCTCGAAGGATTTAGCAGCATCCCTGGCCTCCACCCACTAGAGGCCGACCCTCTTCAATTATGATAACCAAAAATGTTTCCAGATATTGCCAAATGACCCAAGGAGACAAAACTGCCTCCAGCTGAGAATCCTGGGTCTTGGGGGAAATGCTGCAGGAGCCGAGAGGGTGGCGTGGAGGCAGCAAGAGCAGGAGGTAGAATGTGAAAGGCAGCAGAGGCTGCCTCCCCTCCTTGCACAACTCCACAGTCAGCTCCTCTGGCTCTGTCCCTGGAGACCCTTTGTCTCTGCTGGAGGCTTCCTTCCCATAAGGCTGCAGTAAACTGCGTGTGTGTGTGTGTGTGTGTGTGTGTGTGTGTGTGTGTGTGTGCAAGAGCTAGAGAGGGAAGGGAGAGAGGGAGAAAGAGAGAGGGAGAGAGAGATTGGGAGGAGAAAGAGAGAGACTGCAGATGGAGGGGAAGAGATAAAAGCTCTTTGAGGCTGGAAGCCCCTCTGGCCCCAGGTCCCAAGCCTCTGAACACACCAAGCTACAGCCCTGGGGGCCTCTGGCAATGGAGTCTAGGGTCCTTTGCCCCTCCACTAAGTGACCTGAGGGAGATGACTCAGTGGCCCCATCCCCAGGCTGGAAGGGGTGAGGGTGGGGGGACGGGGAGGCACCAGCCTGGTCTCCACCATCCCCTCCCCACCAGACAGCCCACCAGCCGGTCCTGTCCAACCGGCCTCTCAGGTTCATCAGAACCTGACCCCTCCCCACCCTGGTTCGGCAACCATCCCTCTGTATCCGGAGGCCTGGAGTCTCCCTGTGGCTGCCTCCCTGCTTCCACCTTCACCCTTCCTATCGTTTGTGCTCCAAGAAGCAGATGGAATGACCTACTAAGATTGCAAGTCAGATCACGCCATCCTGGCTCAAAGCACTCCAGTAACTTCCTCGGCCCCCAGAATCAAATCCAAACCCCTGGCACACCTTCAAGCGTATGTGGTCCCCAGCCCCCATCTTTTACCTGAAGTTTCCCCTGCCTGCTCTCCCCAGTCCTGTGTCCTCAGCATTAAGGTGTCCCTTACCTGACAGGCCTTCCTGCCCACCCCGTCTGAAAACAGTCTCCTCAAACTCCGGCACCTCCGCCTGTTGTGTAGTCTTCAAGGCACTTTTGACCACACGTCTTACCTTGTTTCTTTCTTGCCTGCCTCACCTAGAATCTCAATTCCTTGCCTGTCATTAATTTCTGCATCCCCAGGGCCCATGTGGCCGGCACATAGCAGAGCTCCATAAATATTTATCGAATAGACAAACGAATGAACAATTCGACAGCCTCAAGAGCCCCTGTCCTTGCTATGGCTCTGCATCTCATCACAGGCTCTGTGGCCTTGTGCTCAGTGAGGCTCATAGGCAGGGACGGCTCAGCCCATGGTGGTGGGGCAGCAGGCGCAAACAGGACAGCCCTGAAAAGGTGCAAAGATGTCAACAGAGGCAAATGCAAGGATGTCCCTGGTCACAGTGGGGAGGACACTTGGGGGACTTGGACATCTTTCCATGACTCTAATGATGACTCCACGGCTTCAAGAATCCTTTCCCTCCTTTTATCAGTCTCTTTGTGACCCTTTTTGAGGGCGACTCATTGTTACTATTATTAAGCTGGCTTCCCTCCACGGAAGTACCCACCCCCGGGAGAAGCCGCGGGCCCGCTTGGGCCCACAGACGGTCGTGGTGGAAAGTAGGTGGCCCCTCCTCCCCTGGGCCCAGCCTTCCCAGGCCAGGCTGCGGAGCGTGCCACCAGAGGGCGTTCCAGGCCACCGCATCCCTGTGCACTGGCGGCCAGAGGCGGGCAGGGCGGTGCTGGGCTCTGCTGCGTGTACGCCTGCTGGGGCCTCTCTCCCTCTCCCTCTCTCTCTCCCATTCAGGTCTTCCTGCAAGAAGTGGGGCTGGACCTGGCCGTCTCTGTGAAGGGGGCTCCATATCTCCACCCCCACCTGCAGTTAGCTCCTCTTTGATTGAACCCCTCCCTGTGTAGTCACAGGCCACGTGACTTTCTGAGCTGGAAGAGGCTTAGTCAGGGTCTCGCTGCCTTACCTCGCTGAGGGTTAATTCAAGGCCGTGAAACACAGTGTTGAGTCTGGCTTCATATCCGCGCTCTGTCATTTAAGAGCTGGACCACCTTGAGTGGGTTCCCTAACCTCTCTGAGCTCAGGCTGCAGACGTTCCAGCCTTTTCAGGCTGCGGGAGGTGACACATGCAAAGTGCTTAGCACTGTGCCTGGAGAGAGCCATTATCATTATGAAAGTGGCCTGCTGAAGGCCACCTGTCAAGCTGAGGTGGCAGACTTGGGCCCAGAATCCTCAAACTCTCAGGCCCCAGCTCTTCCTGTTGTGGTGGGCAGAGGCCCCCTCTGCTTGCACCCTTACTCGGGGGAGAGGTCTGTGTTACCAGCCGAGGTCGCAGGACAGTCCCCACGTGCCTCATCTGTGTTTTCCTGCCGTGGGCTTCCCTTGGGAATGGCTCCCCCCTTCCTCCTGGCCTGGCTACACCTGAGCTCCCTTCAAACCAGCCCAGGGGTGGGGAGAGGGGGAGGCAGTCTCCAGCGTGTTGGGAGGCAGCTCTGCCAGGATCTAGCACGTACTCTGTCCCAGCCGTTCTACTTCAGGAGATTTAATCCTACAGACAACAGTAAAATAATGCACAACATTTCCCACTGCAGCTTTGTTTGTGATTACAATAGTTGGAAGTAACATAAACGCCCCTTCAGTAGGTGACTGGTCAGATACGGTGGAGTCATAGAATGAAACACTAGGCAGCTGTAAGAAAGAATGAGGACGTCTTTGGTACCAACATGGAACACTCTTTAAGCTGTCTTAAATAAAAAATCAAAGCATAACAAAGGGGGGAATACATATACACATAAAAATGTATACATATTTGTGTATACATGCATCAGATCGCTCCGAAGGACACACAAAACTGATCATTTTGTTTACCCGGCGTGGGGGGGATCAGGATGGCAGGAGACCTGGGTGTGAGGGGAGATTTTCTTTTTTCCTTTTGGCTTTGCTGCGTGGCTTGTGGGGTCTTAGTTCCCCAACCAGGGATTGAATCTGGGCCCTCGGCAGTGAAAGCGCAGAGTCCTAACCACTGGACCACCAGGGAATTCCCTAGGGAGATTTTCTTTGCAGCCCCTTTTGTTACTCTTGAATATTGAAACGTGCATGTGTTACCTGTTTTGAAAATTAATTTTAAAACTCTCTTTAGGGACTTCCCTGGTGGCACAGTGGTTGAGAGTCCGCCTGCCAATGCAGGGTACATGGGTTTGAGGCCTGGTCCGGGAAGATTCCACATGCCACACAGCAACTAAGCGTGAGCCGTAACTACTGAGCCTGTGCTCTAGAGCCGGCGTGCCGCAACTACTGAAGCCCGAGCACCTAGAGCCCGTGCTCTGCAACAACAGAAGCCATCGCGATGAGAAGCCCGCGCACCACAGCGAAGAGTAGCTCCTGCTCGCCGTAACTAGAGAAAGCCCGCGTGCAGCAACGAAGACCCAACGCAGCCATAAAAAATAAGAAAAAAAATCCCTCTCTTTAATGAAAGGAAATGGTGACCAAAGAAAAAATTATGTAATACAACATAATAGGATATGATATAACGTAATATATTTGGGTTGGAGAGAATCCAGCTGGGATGCTTCTCCCCTCTCTGTCCCCCTCCTTTCTCCTCTTCCCTCTCTTTAGGAAGCTGCCTCTTCTAGACCAGCTCACATGGTGAACTGTCTCTGAACTCATTCATTCATTCACTTGTCATTGATTTATTCACCAAATGAGCTCTGGGACAGAAGCAGGATTTAGGCAGACATAACTACTTTCTGCTGTGTGTGGGGCAGAGAGGTACTGTGAACACGCACCTAGCCAACAATGTCATTACACTCAGCATAAGTGCGGTGAAGGAGAGGTCACATGGCAGCACAGAAAAGGGGACCTGACCTAGCCTCTGGGTTGGAAAGGCTTTTCTGAGGAAGTGACTTGTTTTTCCCATTTATTCTTGGACAAGCTCTTATAATCTCTTATGAAAGAATTCAAACACATACAGAAATAGAGAATATATTATCATGAACCCCATATGCACCCATCACCCAGCTCCCACAATGAACAACATGGCTAATCTTGTTTTGCCTCTGCACCACACCCACTCCCTCACTTCACCTCCACCCAGTTATTTTGAAAGAAAATCCCAGGCCTCTTATTATTTCATCTGTAAATATGTATCTCTAAAAGATAAGGACTCTTTAAAAAGAAAAATATAATCACAACACCATCATCACGCCTAAACAAAATGAACCTTTCCTTAGGAGAGGAAGTGACATTTAAGCTGAGAGCAGGCCAAGCAGGTGCAAAGGCCTGAGGCAGAGACGCATATATATGGGGCTTCCCTGGCGGTCCAGTGGTTAAGACTCCATGCTTCCAAAGCAGGGGGCACAGGTTCGATCCCTGGTTGGGGAACTAAGATCCCACATGCTGCGTGGCATGGCCAAAAACTTAAAAAGAGAGGGGCATATATATATATAAGTAGATTTAAGGAATAAAGACAAGGCCCGGGTGGCCGAAGCAAAGAAGACAAGGGTGGTGGGCAGCAGCCAGACCATCTGGGGCTTTGTAAGCTGCAATAAGGAGACTGGCTTTAAACGTTATCCTCATAGCAATGGGTAACCCCTGAATGGCTTTAATCAATGTTGAGAGATGATCTGTGGGCAGTAAAAAAAACAATTCTAGCCGAATACCTGGCTCCTCATTGAGCCTGAACTGTGCTTTCATGTTTTGCAGGTTGAGGAGGTATTTCTCTCCTTCAAGATGTTTGGACATCTGTGTTCCTGTTTGACAGAGTGTGAACTCTGGAATCAGGCCGAATGGAGTTCAAATCCCACCTCTGCTCTTTATAAGGGGTGTGACTGTGGGGAAGTCTCTCTCCCTTTCCAAGCATTCTTTCCCTCATCTATAAAAAGACCCACAAAGTCCTTGCTTCAGAGCTCACTGTGGAGATAGAATGAAATTCCATAGGGGAGACGCAGTGTCAGGCCTTTCCCTCCCTGCTTCCTGCCCCTGCCATACTGTCTTTACTGGGAAATGTGCTGTAGAGAGTGAAAGAGAAGCCAAGGGCTCAGGGCCTACCTGGGGTAGGAGGCCTCACCCTGCCAGCAGCCTTGAGCTCCGCTTCCTGGTCTCTCTGAAGTCCGGTCCTGAGGTTTACAGCCCCACGGGTGGGGCTGGGGTGGGGATCACGGAGGGAGGTAGTATGGCAGCTAAGCTTTCCTATTGGCTGTTGGAGACCAGTGGTGTCCCAAGTAGAAAACGGCAGGCTCTGGGGAATCAAATAATGTGGCAGGTCTCCTCCTCCACTGCCAGCAGTGTGGTTTTAGTTTATGATAAGGCCTGAGTCTTCTGCCTGGCTCAGAACCCAAGGCCTTCCAGTCAAGGACAAGTTCCCAGTAAAGATTAGATTGTTACCCTTGGCCAGGATTTGCAGTCTCAGGAAGGCCACACCCCGGCAGGTCCACCCCATCAACTTTCCCTCTATATATGCACACATACGCAGGCCCCTGGCTCAGGCGGACGCTTATACCTGCACACATGTGCACACTTCCTTGTGTGTATATGCACTTTTCTCCACGCATACTTACCCACCTGCCTGTGCATATATGCACTTAAACAGGCATGCATGTGTAAACTGACACTTATATACACACCTGCACACTTACATACACACTGCCACCTACACATAACCCACAATCCTTAAAACGCACACACACAAACTGCACACACTCAGATACACCCTCATATTCAAGACATACTCCTGCTGTGGTAGATCATTTCTAAAGATGGCTGCCATTAATTCTTTTCTTCTCTGCACGTGCATGCTGCCTTACCTATCAGAAGGTAAATTCTATTCCCTTCCTCTTGAATGTTTGTGGAAGAAGCAACATTCTGAGATTTCTGAATCCAGGCTTTAAGAGCACTGGCAGCTTTTACTTCCTCCTTGTTGGAAGTCAGCTGCCACGAAAGATTTGCAGCCGTTCTGAGACTACCATGCTGTGAGGAAGCCCAAGCTATTCATATACAGAGAGAGAGGAGCCATGCTGATGTGCACTAACATGTCAGAAACAGGAGGGAAGCCTTCTTAGACCTTCTAGCTCAGCCTAGCTACTAGTGGAATGTAGCTTTGTGAGTGACCGCCGATGATGCCATTTGGTGCAAATGACCACCCAGCCACACCCTGCCCAAATTTCTGACCCACAGAATGATGGGAAATAATAAATAAAACTTTAAATAGTTGTCTTAAGGCATTATGTTTTGCAATAGTTTGTTATGCAACAATAGGTCATTGAAACACCCATACATATTACATACTTATGTTCATGTATACAACCCGTGTACACAAACATGTGTGACATGTATGCATACATGCACATACCTTTGTACTAGGCACTTCCTTTTTTTTGGTCATGCCACACAGCTTGCAGGATTCCCCGACCAGGGATAGAACCCAGACCCTCAGCAGTGAAAGCCCAGAGTCCTAACCACAGGAATACCAGGCGATTCCCTGTACTAGACTACCCTTCCTCCAAGCAGCCTCGTGCTTTGAAAGGCTGATACCATCCTCAGTTCCAGGAGAGGGATCCTGATGAGTCTAAACCAAACTTGGTGGTCTCATCCCCTCCAAGATGGGTTTAGCTTTGGCAACATTTAGTTCTAGCCAATGAGACACGGGGGGAGGTAGGATTGGGCTTCTGGGAAAACTTCCTCATTCTTAGGAAAGTCACCCTAGAAGCAAATATGCGTTTATCAGTCACTGGATTCTTCATGTCTGAGTGTGGGATATGGAAACACTGCAGTCGTTTTGTGACCGTGAGGATGCAGAATTAAGCAAAGTGGAGATGTGGACGGGCCCTTAAAGACATTATTGATCGAGGCAATCAGTCAACTTGAGAGTCCTCCCTCCCCACCTCTGGAATTCCAGTCATGAGAGATAAAACTTATTTATTGTTTGGGGAGGGTTGTTTGTTTGTTTTTGCTTGAAGTCTAAGGCATCCAACTAATATCTACCCTCCCTTCAGTAAATAAACACTCTCACATACCTGTGAACAAACAGATCCAAAGCTGAGCACATGTGCACTCTGCTTTGCATGTATATACAAGCACATAATAATACTCCACACGTATACACAGTGATACACACCCATACACAAAGGAAGCATGTATCCTTCTACATACAGATACAGGGGGACCTACACATACTTTGTTACACATGCATGCAATTCCTGTATACAGTACCACAGACATAAACGCACCTGGGCCACGTGCATTTTTATACAGAGAAGCACAGAGACAAACACTGGTCACGTTAATGTCAACGTGAATTTACCTATTCCTGCCCACGTCTGAATAGCTGTAACAAACATACAGCTCTGAGGGGCTCCTTGGCTGCAGTGAGAAGCCACTGGCAGAGGCCAACAGCACCTCACCTGGGACTGACAGAAAGTTCTGGATAGAGATAGGAAAGAGGGACTTGCAGACCAGAACATGGCCCAGGAGGCAGGAGGACAATTCCAGTGTGACCTGGATGTGCAGCTCCATAGTCATGGTGGCTGAACTCAACACAGCACCAAGGAAGGCTGTGAGAAGTTCGCTTCCACCCTCAAAGGGGAAAGAAAACCTCCCCGCACCTGCCCAGCATCTCCTTCTACACTGACACAAAACCTATGCTGTGAGGAAGCCTAAGCTAGCTTGCCCTCCAAGGGCCTCTTCTGGCTTTCCTCATAGGCAAACGCTTGACCTGGACATTGCATGAAAGTGAATTTTCACCATTTATGGCAGTGGGCACTCTAGGTAGAGAGACAAGTGTATGCAAAGGCACGGAGGTGCAAAACAGCATAGTGAGTGTAGGAGATTCCAGTGACCATGAGTCTGCAGCAGAGAGTCAGCGTGCGACAGAAAATGAGGCCGGGGAGGTGGGCAAGGGCCATGTCGGGCCCCTGGGTTCATCTCTGCACTCCATAGCCCTGTCCACTCACCCTGACCCCCAGTGCCAAGTGACTCTGCACTTAGGCCTTCATCTTCCATCCACTGGTCTTCTCATGCCAAACTCCTGCATCAGACTGAGAAACAAGATGTTTGGTTTCTTTTTTGGGGGGCTGCGCTATGGCTTGTGGGATCTTAGTTCCCCGATCAGGGATCGAACCCGGGCCCCTCAGCAGTGAAAGCGCGGAGTTCTAACCACTGGACCACCAGGGAAGTCCCTAAATGACGTTTTGGAA